TATCCTGACCATGATCCTTGTAGAAAATCAAATCCAGAAGTTTTCCTGTCCAGTCCAAAAATGCCTTAAGTTTTGACCTCAATCTTGTGAAAATGTTATGTTGCCAATTTAGTTTTTTGGAATTTTTGAAGTCATCTTCTGTCTATCGTGGAACTTTATAGAAGCACTTTGGGTTAATGAAATTTTTAGTGCAAATATTGCAAAAAGTTATTTATATATTCTTAAATTTTTAGCAAAATTTTTACATCGACTTTTATTATATTTCCTAGTTGTACCCACTAAAAATCGTTTCAGGTCTGTTTTTCGTGTAACGCAGTAACAGAGTCGCATGCACAATTTTACATGGAATATGATATTAAATTTTATTATGTATATATATATTAGGGTGGTCGTCCAGTGGTGTTGTGCTAATATTTTTTTTGTCGGAACGCTAAAATTTAAAATCCGGTTCATAAACCGGTTCAAAAAATTTGATATATTTCGATAAGAACTCACAAATCTAATATATTGACTTTTTATAAATTAACTCTATTATACACAGCTAGTCTATACATTAAATTGTACAAGTATGAGGGAATCATTGAGTACATAATTTATATTCTTCAATGACATTAATCATATTTATTCTGGTATTATTTGTATTCATTAATACCTACAGGTATTTATTATGTTATAAAAGTACTCAAGATTTATTACAATACTTTATAAGACTTAACCTAATAATATGACAGAACCTATTACCTATCATACTATATTATATTATTGTATATCATCGATAGATATCTATTATCTATCATACCGTGAGATACCTATACCGTCATTAACTTATTATATACCTACAGACCTATTACTTCTTATAAATACTACTGTCTAATTTATATATTCACCTATATTATATAGGTTTACCACTCACGCCCTATGTATTATCTCTACCTATTATATATATTATCTATTGCCTATACCGGGTATTGAACCCGGACCCCCCGCGTGGAAGTCGCGCACCTTAACCACTACCCTATCGGGTACCCCCACTAATAATATAATATGGGACGCACTGTTGTTTCCCGCGGTTCATTTTCTAATTAATTAGGTAATTAATACTGAGGTGGCGCGACGACACGCGAAAAAGACGGTTGATTGTAGCGTTACGGTGGTGTAGTGGATAAGGTCGTCGCGTGCCACGCGGCGGACCCGGGTTTCGATTCTCGGTAGGGTTAATGTAGCGTGTAAGGGAAATTAATAGGTAATAGGATATATAGTAGATATAGGTTAGGTGTATTCGGTGTACAATGTAGGGATTGAGAGTATATAATGAAATATAGCGTATGGTACAGATGTAAGGCGTGTAGTATAGAATGCAACGTATAGGCACACGTGTAAGGCTATAAAAATACATGAATAGGAACCTATGATGTAGATGTTAGCGTATAAGAAATGCGAATGAATGTAAGATTTAATTTATAAATATTATTTTTTCTATAAGAAGTTCATACACCTCATTTGTTACTAAATTAAAAACTACTTTGATAAAACCAGTGGTTCTGTGCTAATATTTTTTTGCCGGAACGCTAAAATTAAAAAACGGTTCTAAAGCCGGTTTTCATGTTTTTCCAGTTCCGTTCGAAAAGGAAAGAAACAAAAAATTATTACAAAACCCATTTTGTGCACATATATGTATGTTTATTACAATAATAACATTTAATAAAATTAGTTGAATAATAACGTATAAATTTACTTATTAAATCATTTTCTGTATGTAGCGATGTTTTTATATTTTTTCTTGCCGGAACGCGTTCCGGCTCAAAATGATTTGCCGGAACGACGTTCCGGCGCGTTCCGGCGCGTTCCGGCTCGACAACACCACTGGGTGGTTCTTAAAAAGGTCATTTTCGAATTCCTTGCTCCCATGGGCTCAAATGGTTCCAAATAGATAAAAAACAATTCTCTGAAAGTTTTAGCTCTTAATATTAACGTTTAGATAGAGCGCAATTCAATCAAAGTTTTGTATGGAAATAGCATGGAAAATTTTCAAAAATTTTAAAAATATTTTTTAGATGTAATTTAGCGAACAAATGAGTGAATAAAACTCATTCATTTGTCACTAAGTTATACCTAAAACATTTTTTTTAACTTCCCGTAGGGTAAGTTATAGTAATCGTCCAAAAATCGGAATTGAAAATTTTTACATTTCTCGACGTTTTGAAGGTTTCTGAACATTTTGCATACTTCAGAAAAATGGATGTGTGTGTGTGTGTGTTGTGTGTGGTGTTTTGTATGTCCGCGTTTTTTCGTCCACGTTTTCGGGCGCACGGATCAACCGATTTGAATGGTTCAAAAAACATTCGATTCCTATTGATAGAGAAAAGCTGATTAGTTTTGGCAAAGGCATGTCCAGCCGTTTTGGAGATACGGAGCAAAGAGTGCAGAAAATAGAAATCGACTTTTTGAGAGAACGGGGTATCCGATTTGAATGACCTAAAAAACATTCAATTAGTAATGATTGGGAGAAGCGTCTATTAGTTTTTGGCAAAGGCAGCCCAGCCATTTGGAAGATACGGAGCTAAATATGTAAAAATGGCAGTTTTGAGAGAACTAAGCGTCCGATTTAAATGATTCAAAGAACTTTCTGCTTATCTTAACAAAATAATAGATTTTGGAAAAAAAATTCTTATAATTTTTTTTTTTTTTTTTTATTTTTCTTGTATATCGAAAATAATTCAGATTTTATTTTTAATTCTGACTATAGTTCTAATATACTTTACAAATAATTTCAACTCTGCAATTCAGTTTATATAATTCTTATAAATATTAGACAATGTTACAGGATTTATAATAATCTATTTGAAAACATTTAGTATTCCTCGAACATTTTGTTACGGTACGGGAAGTTCCAGCAATTTGCCTTAAGGCACGATGCCATACACCACTAGTTAACAATTAGAATTATTTGATCTACTATTTTGTAACGAAAAATTTGCTAGCAAAAAAGAAACTGGGTTGGATTCACGTTTTCTAAATAAACTTCTCTTTCTCTTTTTCCTTTTCTGTGTTTCTTCTAAAAGGGTTAAAATGTTTGTCAATAAGACAGTCGCCGGGTATCAGGAGAGCAGAAGCATTTCTTGTATGGGAACGATTTTGCTCAGGAAATACATAAAAGAGATTTGTTTGAGAGGAACATGTTGTGAGTTGAGTAAAAGGATCATAAAAGTATTATCATATATTATCAGTGAATTATTCTGTAAAAATAGAATAAGATTTTGAGTTAACATCTGTTTTTTTTTTTAATCATATTTCATTTAATATAGTATCACACAATTTCACAAAGTTCTCCAGTACATAAACAGTCTAAACGCACTTGGGTAAACATTTGTACCAGAGTGGCGCTTAGACTGTGATTAGCTAGGTGATTTTTTGAATTTTTAATCCAAAATGACAAAAATATTTTATGGAAAATAAAAATAGATGTAATAATTTTTTATCCTCAAAAGCAATTGTTAGCCATTATTGCACATTTAGCTCTGTATCTTCGAAATTGCGGGACCTGTCTTTGCCAAAAACTAATCGCCTCTTCACCCATCACCCAATCATTACAAATTGAATGTTAATTGTTGTCAAACATTTCATTTCACCCTTTAATTTAATTCCCTATCTCCATTTCTTTAATTGTTTTTGTGTTTTTGTTATATAATTTTATTTCAATTTTCTATTTTCAGGGTCAATTCGTGGCAGCTTTCGCTTCAAGTAATTTAGGGGATGTTTCCCCAAATATTAAGGGTCCTAAATGTTCCAAATCAGGAGAAGAATGTGATATTTTAACTAGCACCTGTCCAAAAGGTGCAGGAGACTGCATCGCCAGGTAAAAAAAAATTATAGACAATTTTTTGTAATTTTGGATTAAAAATTCAAAAAATCACCCAGGCTAAGCACAGTCTAAGCGCCACTCTGGTACAAATGTTCACCCGAGTGCGTTTAGACTGTTTATGTACTGGAGCACTTTTTCAATTTTGTGTAAATTTGGCAACTATTTTTTTTTTTGAAAATGAACTCGAAATGAAATGACAATTGTTAATGTTCAGGAGATAAATTGATTTATGATTTACATTTGATTTGCTCAGATATAACAAGATACAAAAATAATGAAAGTTACATTATTAGTAATAATATATTTGAAATCGTTCAAAATTTCTCGAATATTTACGGTACGGGAAGTTCCAGCAATTTGCCGTAAGGTACGATGCCATACACCACTAGTTTTGTACTAAATTGCAAACAAAATTGTTTTAGAAATAAACAAACTATATTTTTATATTAATTTGTAATACAAAAAAATTTCAATAAATTATTATTAAATGAGTGGTTATATAACCTGTTATTTAATTTTTATTAGTTTAGTAAATAATTATGATATAAGTGACTTAGAAATTTTATTTGAACATATTATAATATATTATAATTTAATTTATTAGTTTTTTTTTTAAGTTTACTATGGAATTATTTTGATTCAATTATCAAAGTTGAATTATTTTGGTTAAAATTAAAGTATTAAAATAGTCAAAAAATGCATCAAATGTCTGTCAAAAACATGTTAGATTATATTATATTTATATAATAAAATATTATTATATTTAACTTATATATACTTTTATAATATATTTAACTAATATTAATTTTATTTTTGCAGAGGTCCTGGAGAAAACGGTGACATGTTCCAAAGTACCAAAATTATTGCAGAAAGATTAGCAGGACGTGCAGAGGTAAATATAATTAAATTTTAAAAATATTAATTTAAATATAATAATTTTGGAAAAATTACCAAACATATGTAATACTTTCCTTTAAATTTAAAAAATTTTCCATACAATTTGGATAAACAGTTATTATAAAAAATTATTAACTTTATACAAGTCGAGTTGAAAATTATTGAAAAACGTTGATGACTTGTTGATTGGTTAAATTTTAAATATAATAATGAAAATACTAGTGTTATAAAATAATTGTAATTGATTTTTATACCTTTTGTTTAAATTTTACAAATACTTCCATACAATTTGGATAGACAGTTAAATTATAAAAAATTATTAACTTTATACAAGTCGAGTTGAAAATTATTCAAAAGCTTCAACGCAAGAGATGACGCGTTGGCTTTGCTTAAATTTTAAATATAATAATAAAAATACTAGTATTATAAAGTAATTGTAATTGATTTTTATACCGTTTGTTTAAATTTTAAAAATACTTTCATACAATTTGGACAGGCAGTTGAATATTAAAAAAATATTAACTTTATACAAGTCGAGTTGAAAATTATTCAAAAGCTTCAAAGTAAGATGACGCATTGACTTTGCTTAAATTTTAAATATAATAATAAAATTACTAGTATTATTATTGTAATTAATTTTTATACATTTTATTTAAATTTTAAAAATACTTTCATACAATTTGGATAGACAGTTAAATTATAAAAAATTATTAACTCGAGCTAAAAATTATTTGTAGTCATCAATGTATGAAATGATTTTTCTTTAATTTTTAAATATATTAATTTGAATTATAGGCTTATAAGTTTGAAACTATAAATTTTTATAACTTTTGTTCAAATTTTAAAAATATTTCCAAGTAATTTAGACAAGTAGTTGAATTTAAAAAAAATACTAACTCGAGCTGAAAATTATTTGGAACCATCAATGTATGTTTAAATCGTTTAAATTTTAAGTATATTAATATACGTAGAAACTAAAGAAAAATGATAATATCAAATTTTATTACTTCACTTTTAATATTTCAATTTTATACATCTTATTAGTATGTATATAAATTGTTAAAAATAAATTTATTCCAAGAACACATTTTACATGAGAAGGTTTTTTTGATAGATGACTCAAATGTGAAATTTGAATTTTATTTTAAATTTTATACATATTTTTATACATTTTTATCTAGTAGTCAAATTGTTAAAAATATTTTAAGTCGTAAAATTTTAATAATACTTTTAAAATTTAAATAACTGTCTTTAGAAGTAACTGTGGGATTTTCATGATTAAAATGACACCAAGAAAAATTTTCGCAAACGTTTTTAAAAAATTCAGATAAATTGTTGTATATGCTCTGTAATATATATATATATATATATATATATATATATATATAAATTTCCAAATATAAATCCAATTTAGTGCGTATGTTTCCCAGAAATCATTTGCAAAGTTCAAAAGCAATTTCCATGTATTTCATATATATATATATATATATATATATATATATATATATTATATATATATATATATACAAATCAAAATACAATATTAATAATTCCACTCGTCAATATTTTCCTCGAATACATAAAAGGTTTCAATCAAATCGAGATTTCTGCGAATTTTGCACAATATTAATCGCAAAAGTCATTTTTATGTTTTCATTTAAGGCAAATAATTAATAAAAAAATATTTATTGAAAATGTTATTTATATAAAAACAATACATGAATGACATGTTTCGCAGAAATTTATAAATATAAAAATATAGTTAAATTTTTGATAAAATCGTATGCAAAATTAAAATGTAGTACTAATTGTTAAAAAATCAAAAAGATGAAAAAATGACTGACTTTACAACAAACTTTACATTTTTTTAAATTGTTGTACAAATTTTAAAAATAATATATACACAAAATATTACAACTTTGACTTTTCAAAATTTCATTTTTAATTCAGATCTTTATATTAAAATAAGTAAGAGAAACATTTTTAAACTATGACCCTTAATAAAATTTTATTTATTAAATTTTTTAAATGGACTCTAATATTGATTTGTTTATACCCAAATATCTTTTATCCACTAAAATTAATATGTATCAAATTGTTTAAGAAATAGATTATATTTATATTATTACAAAATTTACAAAGAATAATTTACAAAATTTTCCTAAATTTTACTTTTGATAAAGACCTTAATTTTTACACACTTTATACCTTTAAAATTGATACCTTGCACAATTCTAAAAATAATCTTTATATTAACAAATATTTGATTTAATTTGACCCAAAATTATAAATACTCGTTTAAAACAGGAACTTGATGTTTGAAATTGTTTTCCCAAAATTTACAATTCTATGTATTTACAATTAACTTCAGAAAATCCATTAAACAGACATCTGTCTTATTTATATTAAAAGATAACATATCTTGTTATATATCTTTCTAAGAATTATGTAACAATTGCTGTCACCTCAGTTTCCTTTTCTTTAGAAAACTTTGTATCAGAAAATCAGAAATAATTTCCGTCCAGGAAATTAAACCACTCTGCTATAATTTGTGCAATTGATATTTACTCTATTATATTTTATTTCATGTTTTATTTTATTTTATAAATTTTATTATTTTTTTTTTTAGAGTTTGTTGACAGAAGCAAAAGGTCGTGAGGTTCATGGGCCCATAAAATCGATCTATCAATATATCGATATGCCGAATGCCAATGGCACTTATTTCAATCCGAAAACTAAAGAAGTCGAACAGGTAAGAATAATATTTAATATAAAATCAGATTGTAATTTTAAAGACTTCAAATTTTAACAAATTATACATTAGAGGTTGTAGTAAATTCTAAAATTTTCAGTACACATCATTTGATACTTTGAGTATTTTAAAAAAAAAATTATTCTGCAGTCTTCTTGCAAATGTGTGTAAATCCCCAAAATATTGCTAAAGAATGAAATATCGAATTCAAAGTGGTTTTATTCAAGAATTTTATATCGAAGTGTATAAAAGTGTTTTCTAGAAATTGTTGTAAATTTTATCTAGTTTCACCCTATCTAACTCAAAAGAGGTAGTTTGATATGAAATTTTTGAGTTATTTGACAAAAACCAACAAAAAATGTCCCGAATTTTCTATATTTATTGCTTAAGAATGAAATATCGAATTCAAAGTCGTTTTATTAAAAAATGTCGATGAGACATTAAAAGCGTGTTTAAATTATTTATTTTATAAAATGTTTTGTTTATTATTTTTTTCAAATTTTTGTTTCATTAACCTTTGAAACGTAAAGATATACTTATAATAATGTTCATTTTCAATTCTTTTGCGATTACTATAACTTACCCTACGGGAAGTTAATAATAATTGATAATGTAACTATTTGTAAGTGGAATTTTACCCTAAGGCTTGTTACATGAATTTCCCAATATTTTTAATTCCCAATTTAACCCAAATCGGCCTAATCTTACTTCAACCCGAAATAAACCGGTTAAGATGGGATTGAGTAAAAATTATAATTTGATAAATTTTATAAAAAAAAACTTGGTGTGAATGCTATTTTCTCTTAATGCATAATGCCTAAGCTTTTTGATATGTGTAAATAATCAACTTTAATAATAAAATATAAATTTCCAACTTTTTTTCTTTGTTCCCTGTCATTCCAAAGGACTATTTTTTGACCGCGCATATCTTAAAAACTATTGAACGTTCCAAATTTAAATTTTGGTCACAAATTTGGTAAGGTAGATTAATAATGTGTGCCAAGTTTCATCAAAATCGCATAAAAAAATTTGAGAAAATGCCATCTGTTTAAATATTAGTTATAAATATTTTTTCAAATTTTCAATTTCTATATGAGTATCCAAATTAATATTGCATTTTTAGTGAAAGAGTTAAAACAGCAAATCGTGATTAACGCAGTTCGATGGCAAATTAAAAGTATTATATAAGCGACTTTTTGAATTTCTAAAATATCTCAAAGCGTTCTCGAGATATTGCATTTTTAAACATTTCGATTTGGCAGGATCCATATTGATTTTTTCAACTTATAAAATTTGTAAAATGTAAAAATGCAATTTTGTAAAAACTATTGCAGATATTTTGGTGATTCAAAAAGTTGTTCTATAAACACTTTTAATTTGCCATCGAATAGTGATACTCTTGATTTCCAATTTTTACTTTCTTTACTTTTATTTCAAAAATCTATATATACATAAATAAATTTTCAGGATTTGAAGAAATAGTTAACAATGCAAGTCGATAGTATGTATCTTTATTGTTAATTAATATATTTTCAATGTTATTTTTTCATTACCAAGTGGATTATATGATGCTTTCTATATAAGTATACTAATTAATGTTGCATTCTCAGTGAACGAGTTAAAATAACAAATCGTGATTAACACAGTTCGATGGCAAATTGAAAATGTTATATAAGCAAATTTTTGAATTTCTAAAATATCTCAAAAGGTTCTCGAGATATTGCATTTTTAAACATTTCGATTTCGCAGGATCCATATTGATTTTTTACAACTTATAAAATTTGCAAAGTGTAAAAATGCGATTTTATAAAAACTATTGCAGATATTTTGGTGATTCAAAAAGTTGTTCTATAAACATTTTTAATTTGCCATCGAATAGTAATACGCTTAATTTCTAATTTTACTCTTTCCTCAAGAATGTACATATACATAAATAAATCCTCAGGATTTGGAGAACTAGTTTTTCTAAGATGTATATCCATGGTGTTTTAACAAGGCTTTTGTAGTTTTTATTTTTTCAATTTTAGAAAGATATATATCAAAAATCCTAACTGTTGCAAAGTATAGCCGAAAATATATTTTTTATAACGACAAACCTGACTAAAACTGTTTTAAATTTTATTTAACTTTTTTTTTAATTATGACATCAAACGGCAATCTGTACTATATTATAAAGGTTGATACTAACATCAAGTAAATGTTAGGTAAAATGCCACTTACGCCTATTTATATTTATTAACCAATCCACATATTTATAAAATTTAAGTTAAGCAATTTTTTCACGCGTAAAATTCATAAAATAAACTTTCCTTTACATCATTATGGAAAACGCTCTGATATTTATACAAAAAAAGCTCTAGCTGGATAAATCCTTGGAAACAAAAAGCTCCCAGCGAGCTTTTTAATTTTAATTGTGCTCGCCCATGTGGGACAAAGTGCACTTTTCGCAGTTTTTAATCTAATATTTACTTTTACTTATTTTGCACTTTCAAAACTTTTTACTACGACGTAAGGGAAATAAATATAATTGTGCGGAAACTTCAAAAATGGATCAAGGTGAAGTTTAAAAGAAAAATTGATCCATAATTTTAAGAAATAATTTGTATATAATTTGAAATTATCTGCTAAAATAATAATTCATACTTCTCCAGCAAAAAAAAATCAAGTAAGCAAATAAAAAATACATCATTGTATATTTTTTATTTTATAATATTTATATTTTAAAATGAATTGTAACGATTGTTCTGTAACCTATATAGGTTTATTGAAACAAAACTTCTATTCGTATTGATAAGCAGACGTGCTGATTAGTTTTTGGTATAGGCAGGTCTAGCCGTTCCGAAGATACGGGGCAAAAAGTGCCGAAAACGGTAACTCACTTTTTAAGTAAACGGAGCGTCCAATTTTAATAATTCAAAAAACATTTTAGTGGTAAAATTTTTGGGAAGACAGCTCCAGCAGTTATGGAGTCTCAATAAAAATAAGTTAAAAAAATGTCATTTTGCGGTCAAAAATGTTTATTGGACTTATATACATCAAATTATCAGATATTTTATAGAGATTTTAAATATTGTGTACACATTTTGTGTACATTTTTTGGGTTCCGTACCAAGATTTTTAATATTGAATTTAATTCATATGGTTAAAATGTCCTCGACAGTATGGAATAACCGATTTATAAGATTAAAAAATCATTCGTTTGTACTCGATCGCGAGGCGATTTTGCAAAAGGCAATTTTGCCGTTTAGGAGGTACGGAGAGCAAAGCGTGTAAAAACGGTTAAGCAGTTTTTGAGAGAACGGATCATCCGATTAGATTTATTCAAAAAACATTTGGCTTGAGTAGACAGTGTGCAATAAATGCATTTATAGAAAATTTAGTAATTTTGAAACTTTTCACAAAAAAAATCAAAATTTTCAAAAAAATTTAAATTTTTGAAATTTTTCATAATCAAAAAAAAACAAAATTTTAAAAAATTAAAACAAAAACGATTTCTTACAAAAATTTGAAAATATTTCGATAATTTAAAAAAAATTAAAATTTTCATAAAATTCAAAGTTTCAAAAAATTCAAATTTTTGAAATTTTTCATAATTTTCAAAAAAAAAAAACAAAATTTTGAAAAAATTAAAACAAAAATGATTTCTTACAAAAATTTGGGAATATTTCAATAATTTCAAAAAAAATAAAAAGGTTTTAATAATTTCCAAATTCTCAAAATATTTAGAAAAAACGCTTTTTTTAATTACAAAAAATTTCAAACTTCTAAAAAAAATTCCAAATTATCAAAAAAATAGACTCTTGTAAACGTACACATCAAGTTGTTCATAAATTTGAAATTATTCAAAACAATCATTGATTATTTTCATTCCTCGAATGTTTAAAATTACGGTACGGGAAGTTCCAGCAATTTGCCTTAAGGCACGATGCCATGCGTCCCAATAGTTGTAATTTTGGATTAAAAATTCAAAAAATTACGCAGGCTAAGCACAGTCTAAGCGCCATCTTGGTACAAATGTTTACCCGAGTGCGTTCAGACTGTTTATGTACTGGAGCACTTTTCCAATTTTGTGAAAACTATTGAAAAATGTGAAAATGCCGCCAAGCTGAGCACAGTATAAGTGAAAATGTCGCACGGAATTATTTGCAAATGCGTTTAGACTGTGACTATACGGGAGCACTTTTTCAATTTTGTGCAATTTTGGGCAACTATTTTTTTGAAATTGAATTCGAAATGAAATGACGATTGTTAATGTTCTGGAGATAAATTTTGATTGATTTATGATTTACATTTGATTTGCTCAGATATAACAAGATGGCAAAAATAATGAAAGTTACAGTAGCTGTAATAATATATTTGAAAGCGTTTAAAATTTCTCGAATATTTCATTACGGTACGGGGAAGTTTCAGCAATTTGCCTTAAGACACGATGCCATACACCACTAGTTACTTTACAGTCTCTAAATTGCATAGAACAGTAATGTAACATTTCATGTTGCCAAGTCGTAAGCAAATAAATCTCTCTCCATAACTCTATTTAAACAGAAGTAGTTTCCGTTTGTTCTCTTCTCTCTACTCTCAACTAAAAACAAACTCAATTCGAGTTTGTCTTGGAGTGATACAGTTGATGCGTTTCCATCCCATCCGGCTACCAGGCGAACAGCGGCCGTTTCGCCTCTGACCGGGAACGAGGCGGTGCTCCGGGTTAGAAGTAGTAGAGCAAAACACCGATGGATACATGGATACATAGATACATAGATACATACATACATAGATACATATATGCATAGAGAGATGCCTACATACATACATACAAACATATGTCAATACATACATATGGAGCTCTAGGGCACAATTCGAATGCGTTGCAACTGTTTGTGAACGTTTCGTCGGTAGTGTTTCGATAAGCCGGGAGCAATTAAATATCGAAGAGCATCATAAACCCGCAGTTTATTCATGTAAACTAAACGAATGTTTTACTAGTGCGTAGGCGAAAGCAA